TAATATACAATACAATCTGCAGTTGGTTATTTACAACCTAACCGTAAGTCGAGCAACAAAACATAAAATTACGGAGACTGTTTGGCTTACATTTAAAATGCATGGAACCGATATCCGATTTAAAAACTTGTTACCGAAGTAGAAGCTTTCTTGATACAGTTTGGTATGATGTTTACTTTAAGGAGGTTGCGATTTAAAAACTTTTCAAACAAAGGGAATAAAATTCTTGTTCGTATGCGATTCTAAAGTTATATTGTTGAAATGATAGTTATATAGTTGGCTTAGGAGTAGCAATAGTTGTCAAATATTTAAATGACCACCAACAAGATTAATACTTGTTTTACTTGAGATAAAGATTGTACATCATTATAGATGTGGTACATTGGAAATAATACATTTAACAGAATCGTCTAGTTATATCATGTAAATAAAAGCTATATTTGACTTAATTTTTCCAACTTTGAGTGAGCAGACAGAATTGCCATGTTGAGGTTAAGGTTGTTAAGGTTAGCCCTTCTATTTTAGATATAGCGTGTACACATATAAACTGACACGAATAAAATAAACTGGTATATACATGTTAGGTACTATATTACGTGTAGGCCTACCTATAATGCAATAGTTTTCATATGCGGATTCATTTAAAGTAAATACAAAACATTGAAAAATATTTAAATGAAAGAGAAAAAAATAACCGTTATATCAACAAATATTTAATATTCCTCTTAAAATTTGAATTAAAACTATTTACATATTGATTCTATTAGTTTAATTGTATCGTAATTTATAAATTATACGATTGACTAAACTAATTAGAGGAAAATGTATTGCTTCTTATTAGATTAAAGACAAGTGTGTACACTAAAGTTATTATACGTTTAAAAACAAGAGAAGACACTTAATGTAAAAATGTCAAAAGCAAGCTCAGCATAAATCATTTTGGAGCTTTTATAATAATGACTCAGTCGGCCCGAGGCGTGGTAAAAAGGTATTGCTTTAACAAACACTCTGCATAATTATAGCTGGGTCTCCAGCCGCGAGCTCATGGCAGTTTATAAAACATAAATAGATGTGTTATTAAACACAATCCTATAAAATATAATTCTTTTACATCAGATTAAACGTTTACACTTTGAAATAAGACGAGTAAAATGTTTAAAAGTGTTTGGTTAACAAGGCAAATGAGCTTATATTTAATCAGTTCAGTCAGATTTTAACTAAATGACTATCTCAATATTTTACTAAAATCTTATATATCTTATGACAGATAGCCTGACCATACTACTGGGCCGAATTACACACGGTTGGTACCAAATAAAACATATTTTCCTGTAGTTGTGCAGAATAGCTTTATAAATTAAAATAGGCTAAAAAAATTAGCACAAAAGAGAATTTAAAAGAAAAAAATTACATGGGCCTTATGGGTTGCCATGCTGGGGACAAAATAACAATAAAATATAAGCATAACCTCCAAACAAATTGCAATCACATTTTTTATTTACAGCGTGGGGTAAAAATATAGAAGTTTGCACAATACATACTATTGATCGTGTTTTCGACCACGGGGCAAGCTCTAGTTTACAAACTATTTTATTTAACTATTTTTTTTAACTATATATTTTGTGTAGACGATTTTTTATGTTGCTTAAAACATCATAAAGTGTTATAGATTCAGTTGTAAATTCTATTGTTTACAGATTCCAATACTTAATAAATATAACCAATACTATACTTCCCAAACACGTATAAAACAAGTTAAAAGTTATAGTAAACATAATCTACTAAAAAATGTAAGTTAAGGTATAATATCCAGATTTTTATTACATTAGTCGATATCCTTTTACTTTATAGTTCAACGAATTGAAATAGTCGTATATTTAGCAAACTGGGGTAGTTTCCCTTAAACCTGTCTAAGTGTTGGTTTTGTGTAAGAATATAGAAAGCCACATTGAAAAAAGATTAATATGATACAATTTAAACTAATCTTCTCTTATCAGAAAAGTAATAGTAAGGTTATCAATGTAACATGTATACTATAGATAAGGTTAACATCAATATTTACATGTATTGTCAATCCTCCTCTAGTGTTTAGCATTACAGTTCGTTTAGGAACTGTTGAATGACTTGGTTTGGTTGGTTTATATATATTATGTTTATGTTATGTGTAGGCCTTGAGTTCTACATAGCAGGAAGGGGTAAGCACTATAATAACAATTTGTGAAAAATATTTTCATTACAATTTTAATAATGAATAAAAAAATAACCATAAAAATAAAATATCCAATTGAGTGACACATTTCCCTATCACTGATATCTTAAACGAGACGACAATGCATTATAATATTCCGTTTACCTTCTGATATATCCATACAACATCTTTACAATACACTGACAAAATACAGAAAACAATCGGTATATATATATGAACAGCTGGTCAATCAGTATATAGCCACTGGCTTTGACAAAAAATCACCCCAAAAAGAAATACATTTTCGTGTAATGCAGTGTGAAAGGAAACATACAGTGTTGGCCTCAATCAGTGTCCAAGAAAATTAATTTTAAAATCTACCCTATACCCCATATACCTCATACCTCATATACCCCAGAGTATTAACTAGAAACTGTAGCACAAGTAAGGACAGTAACATAACATCACAAACAAATTAGTCGAAATGCAACCAACAGCAAAATTATTAGTCAGTTCTCATAGATTTAAAACCAACAGAGGATGTTTAAATTGATTAAATACGTACATATTGAAATCTACCTAATAAGTTAAATCGAAGTTGATAAAATGTCAAAAACAGCTGATTTAAAGTGGTTTTAGATCTAAAGTAATCATCGTCAACTACAATGTTACAATGTCCAGTGGTATGGGCACAACCGGGCCCATCAGTTCGGGGTAAAGTTGTAGCTAATGTTGAGTGTGTGGTTCACCATGAATTGTACAACTTGGATACTCCCCGGCCCCGAGGAACTATGTTGGGGCGATTTTGGCGGGATTGTCACTCCCCAGTACATTACGAAATTTACCCACCAGAAACTTTAATTCCGTTTAGTACGACCATCCTAGATTCAATTAAATAATAAAATTGGCCGTTTAGTTTGTTAGCTTAAAGAGATAAATAATTTGATAAGTTTGAATACTGTCCATGATTTTTCTTACTTATGAGTGGATGAATATATTTTCATGTACATGGCGGAATAATAGGAGCTGGAAAATCACTTCGTGTACAATTATTGATGAACAATACTTTTACATACATACATTACGACACAAAATTTGTTCATACAGAACAACAGGTCTCAGTCGATTTAAAACCATTTTATTTCTAATTTACTATATTTAATATAAAAATTAAAGCAAAAAGTATGTAACAAACTTAGATAAGAACTCGACAGTTAGAAATTTAAGTTCAAGGTTAAGTTCATTGTGCTGTAGCACGCACTAAATGAAGAAATATAGTATAACTAGCATATGTATATTTCTTTTTACATTTATATTGTTAATCAGACAGCAGCTGATTCCAATCATACAAATAAATGGTAAATGAACACTAGCACGTGTAGTGGGCATATGGAGAACTAATGGAGAGCATGGAGTAATCAGCTGATCGTTTATACATTAAATATTCTATATAAATATTGACTACATAAGGAATATGGTAAAGTATTACTAAGCATCAAGGATTTGAGGTTTAATTTGGATAATGTCACTATTTGTATGTGTGCAGGTGTACAGGAGAAAATCAAAGAATCAGAAGAATTAAAACGAAAGATGGAGAAATTGAAGAAAACCTCACCAAAGCCGTAATGTAAGATGGAAAAAAATAATTTTTCCCTTGTGTATTCATACCAGAATAAGAAGAGTATAAATTTATAATATAAATTGAACATATGAAATCATCGGTAAGTAGGCCTTCTATAATACATATTTTATATGATTGGTGATTAACATAATAATGTACTAGATTTTTATTTTGTATTATTCTTTTTAACACAATTATCATTTATTTTACTTGTTACAAGGGAATGTTCCAATCACTGAATTTCTTACCATCTAACGTTGATCATTAGTCAACATTGACAGATGGAATATACTTGGTGGAATATACTCTGTTTGAAATCAAACTACCACCTTTACACGCGGAGGCTAATAAACCACACAAACACACATCTCAATTGTAACCTATACATTTAACAAACTGAAACAATACGTTCAGTCTTTGACTATTTTATTTCTCCTTGGACGCTAGGCACGAGCTCGGGAGCTAATTTTAGGCACGAGCTCGGGATTGTTTTTTACACTACTTCAGGCCATTGGAGATTTGGCGGGATTTGAACCCTAGACCTCAGGGAGCCCTGACGCTCTAATCACGAGACCGACTCGCTCCCCTAGTCTTTGGCTATTACAAGTAGTATACAATCCATTCGCCTAGTAACGCTATAGCCAATTTCGGAGTAAACCCGAACGATTTGAGCCCCCAACATATTGTCATAGTGTGGGTAGCGAGCTGGAGTAGCCGTAAAGCAAGGGACATTGGTGCCCGAGGTCCTGGGATCAAATCTCGCCAGTGACCAATTAATTCCATCCTAGTAAAAATGCAATGCCGTTCTAAGCATAAAAATGAGAAGTATTGGGGAGGGGTCTTTAAGAGGGGTTTGAAGTATTGAGTAAACTGTGTCGAGCTAAAGCTAAATGATCTAAGACATGAAGGTGGGACAAAGATATAGATTTGTCCTGTAAATTTGCAGATTTCTGTCAGGTACACTCTTTTTTAAACTACGTCAAACTGAAACGACAACTTATAGTAGCTAAAAATCTTTTATAACAACTACCAAAGTATCAATAAATAAAGGAAAAATATAATCTTTACATCTATATATGGCTAATCCAAGTATGTTTCAACAAAGATCAACCACAGCTGATCATTAGATGAAAGTCTATTTCATTACCAAACAGTTGAAATCGAATAGATTGTTTGGTGATGTAGGAAGTTGGGATGTTGACAACATGAGGTGGTGTCTACAGGCAGCTAAACACAGTTTATTTCCTCAGAGACGACGACGGTAACAAGCAAGGCGGGGCCTCTCGACACCAACTCAACGCTAACTCAAATTAGGTTAGTGTGAAATTTCCTCAGTTTTCAATTCAATTCAATTCAATTCAATTATTTAAGATGGGGACGCCACTATGTGCGTATTTTAACCCAAATATGAGTGAAGGATGAGTGTAGGATGAGTGGCGCGATCTTGTAGTCTTGTTAGTGACTAAGGCCGACATGTTCCTTAGACACAGCTGTTAATTAATAGCCCATACAGCTAATGGCAACTAAGGGACCTACAGTTTATAGTGGAATCCGAACCACATTTTTCCTTGTAATTTACGAATTGGTCTAATTATCAGGATAATACTGCGGATAGTCGTAGTACTCACTAGTGCGGACGTTAATCCACACCAGGGAGCATCGCATCCACAGTGCATCCCTATAAATATCCACAATTCGTGACCTCCCAGTAGCTGGATTACAGGACGACGCCACCCGTCCCAGTCTAATAGTTTAGAAGTCTAATAGCTCACTACTAGAAGTTTGTGTCTAGAAGGAGAAAATTGCACGGCTTAAACTAGCAAGATTGTATCTAGTTAGTATTTCTTATTTAAGCTTGTATTTAATTTTTTAAATTCTATCAGATTTTTACATTGTGTTGCTACGTTAGGATTCTGTTACAGAAACAATGTAAATGTTTTGTTTTCTTTATAGTATTTTTATATTATGTTCTTTATGTATTTCAATGCATCAAACTAAGTTATTATGTTATCATTAATAAATAAGATTAATTATAAAGTTTAAGTTTGAAGTTTTTATTCAAGATTATTGTGTTTTATGTGAATTATAGATGTGTGACGGCTTATGTAATAGTAGTAGTTTACGCAACGATCGCGTTAAGACCATTTATGCGAACTGAGTACACTACATCACCTACGACCGTTTTTAATTAATTACTAACAATCACTACTCATAACAACTAAGAGAGGTTATGTTTTCGTTTATAACCTCTCATTGCCACTGACAGTAATGCAACGACTTAATGTACCAACCACTAACTACAACGATCATTAACAATGAAATTGGTAAACAGCTGATTGTTTGAGGTTAGAAGCATTAAAACTTCACTTTTATCTCAACAAGTGATTCTCATTGGTCCGTTATTCGTGTTTTAAAGTAATTCAATACTGTAACGTAAGTAAACACAAGTGAATATTAAATAAGTTAAGTTAAGTGTTTAATAAGTTATTAAATGAGTTAAGTGAATATTTTAAATTCTAAGAACTGAACTGAAACGGCCAGTTTAAAAAAAAAAACTATCGTAGGTAAACTTGTTAAAAATATTATTTAAACGATAGTAAAAAAATAAATTGGTCCTGGATTAATCTACCAATTGTTATTAAATAGTTTTACCTTTTAGTATGCCTCGTGCAAAACAGTTATGATTTTAAAATATAAGTTGACTTAATCAATGTTGTTATAAAGTAAGAAAAAAATTCTAACTGATTGAATAGTTAAAAAAGCTGTGGCAAATATTCAATCAGAATGTGTTAATGCATAAACTTTTAGAAATTTGACTAAATAATTACTACAAAAACAAAATGAATTAAATATATAAACAATAATAAAAATGAATGACTAATTTTGTTTGAATAGCAAAATCCCCTTGGCCTATATTGTATAATTTGGGAAAATATTTAAGAAAAATAATTACATAAGAAATCATGATGTGACATAAACTTGCAAAGAGATATAACTTGGTATTAAATCAGACTTGTTGAACTTCCGGCAAAAGGCTGTTCTTGAATATTTACAAGCAGAGCTTGTATTACAAGTCGACTTCTCACTTTGGGTGTCGTGGACTTGATAAACGGTACGACGGTGCTTTACATGAATTGTTGAACACACTGAAAACGAAGCTGTAATGGAGTTAAGAAATAAAATAGGTTGAAAATAGTGTTTAGTTAATAAACAGTTTTTTACCATATAAAAATATACGTTTAACTTTTTGTTTAGCAAAATTTAAAAGTTTTAGTAGTGAAAGCAAGCCTTGCTCCCGGAAAAATACAAGATAATTACATACAAATTCATCGTTTGTTAAAGCAAAGATTGCATTATCTTTCTAATCGCATTTCACGTTTGAAACTTTACTATAACTTGTGTATAGTTATGAGGTGATGATACAAATAAAACATTTTAAGAGTAGTTTAATTCCAGTAGTTGTTTCTACTTGTGTTTTATGGGGCTTACCTTCTTCGTGTAACATACATTTACTGCTTTACGTTGAAATATATATCGAAGGTTTTACTTATTTAGGAGGTAAGAATTAATCATATCAATAAATTATAAGCGTTTAAGCACATCTTGTTCTGCTGCAATAACTATTGAGCAACCACGCTTAATCATCATAAACTAAAAAAATTATCAATAAGTGTTCCATGTGCATAGAAATTGTTGTTACAATTAAAACCTGAAATAAAACATTATTTAAAAATCATAGGTTATGGTATAAAATAATTGTTAATCTAATTAAACATGTTTTGTCGTCTAATTACGCTATATACCTTTTACAGTAGCCACATTTCACACTCAGAATTTTTGAAATTAGATGTAACTATAACAAATTTTTAGTATGCTCCTCTATAACCTACTACAGAATTTTAAGATTGACAAAATCAGTAGGCTCCAGAGAAGTCCTGAGTATTGAAGAGTAGTAAAAAAGTTTAGAGATATGCCAGACCTGAACATTAAACTTTATAGCCTTTGACGACGAAGTGGTAGTTACAGACAGCTTAAAATGTTCTTAGGCGTTAGAACTTGTATTTCTAAAGGGAACTTTGTGCACTTTATGACCTAAATCTTATACGATCTGGACAGTTTTATGAATATTCTACATTTGATTAAAACAAAGACGTTTAGGGAAACACTCATAAACGAGTTTGACTGTACAAGAAAAGTTAGGAAATCAGCTGTTTTAACCCTCATTATAACCCTATGTTAAACATAACTGTTTCGACCATTTTACGTTTTTAAAATCTTAATTATTCATAGATATTTCGATTGATATAACTTAATTTTTGCTCTAAGCAACGTTGTCTTTAAACATGTAGTTATGTGTATTTCTGTGTAAAAGGATTTTTTCTACTAATAATACCGAAAAAGCTGTAAAAGCAACTGAATTCTAAAGATTGGTGTTCTAACCAACAGCAGTCCCTTATTTGACAAGGCATCTACAAATTAGCTGTAAATTGAGATTGTGGTTGTGCATCGATTGGAAGATTATTGTGTTACAGACTTATCTAGCTCTTGGGTTTCTTATTTTTTCGACCAAGACGATTTAACAGTTTTATTATCATTTCGTCAAGCATTTTTTATTTTATTGATCAAAAGGAAAAGAGAATTTTTGTGATTATCTTGATCAACCAATATTAAGATTCTTGGGGGATTGTGGAAAACACAAGCTACTTTACCACCCTTTCAATGATTTACAAAAACAAGTAAATTGTTTCGTTAGGATTAAGATTTCAAAGTGTAAGGGATTTTCCGTCCCCGTGCTAATACATTTTTACATTTTCAAACCAACAGAATGTAAAACATGTTTTTATATGCACAAATGTTACTCACCAATGGCAGGCAGGATTACAAAATTCTGCCCGGTTCAAAGTGGTAGGATTAAATTAAGCTGGGACCGACCAGTTGGGCAACAGAGTTATATATTTTGACAAGGGATTTAGAGTTGACGAACCTATAAAACATGGTTCAATGTGGTCATATACTATAGCTGACGAATGTTTTGCGCATGAACAATAATAAAAACTAGAGGTCGTCCCGTGGTCGAGAACTCGGAAAAAATATGTTATGTACTAACAGACTTCTATATTTTCACTCAATACTGTAGAAAATAAAACATGTGATCAGAATTTCTTCAATTTGTTTTGATTTTCTGTTGTTTTTGTTTATATTGTGTCGTTATTTCGTCACCATCATGGCGACTCATAAGACCCACGTTAATTTTTTGAAATTTTATATTCATTTTTTGTGCTTATTTTTTAGCCTATTTTAATTAATAAAGGGATTCTGAAATTCTACAGGTAAATATCTAAAATCTGACATTTCACTACTATCCGTCCATCCTTACAGTGTGTGTCCACCAACATTTTTTTTTCTGACTATGAAAATTTGATAAAAATAGATACAGTCAAATCGCTGAGTTGAAGTGTGAAAAACATATGTGATGAAAACCTTTCTATAATCCAACATGGTAGATGGTGGCAGGTGTTAGCAAATACAACAGATACATTCGCTGGGATACATTAGGGTGTCGTTCCGCTCCGGGTGCGGTTGTTCCCAGTTAAGGCCTATTACAGTGACTACGCCTCATTTCCCTGCTTACTTTGAGAAATGGTAAGTGTAACACGTTTCCACAACCGACATATAGTCTCGTAACGTTTTCCTAATGCGAGTGTTTCAGGGTAAATATATGTTGAATCGCAATACAAATTGTATTAGATTTTTAGGAATCTATAATTTGGTATTTTGCATTCTACTAGGAATGATTATCACTACATAGTTTTGTGCTTGTTACGTGTTTAGTGGTGACAAAATCATTTGAATTGCTGTATAAAAAAAAAGGAAAAACACCAACACCTTTGAGGTTAGTCCATATATATTGATGTTTTGCATATTTGAAATTTTACTTGTTTAAGGCTTGAAAACAAAGCATGATCTCAAGCCTGCATCACCTATTTTAAACCTTTGAAATAACCCTGTATAGAGAAAATTGTAATCATTCATCTACTCTAAAAAACCTAATATATTATGTCGAAAAGTCTTTTTAGCAAAGGGTTGTTTATCAAGGAGTGTACCTTTAAATATTTTGTGCATTTGACAAGGCCACTTTTAGATTATGTTCCGAGTAAAATACTGTTTTTTTTTATTGGACATTTAAGTGTCTCCCTAATGTTGTCCCTTAAAAAGTCATTGTTCACATCCTTAAAATAAGAACGCCGGTGTTTAGCATCGTAGGGATATGATCATATCTAAAAATATACCTGTCATCTAATTATAAATTTTTCCAATATTAATTGTTTTAAATTAATCCTTATAGGTATAATAAATCAATTTTGGTTTCATTTATATGTTGCTTAAAAAGTAATAATCGCACTATAGTGAGAACAGTCACTTTGCTTGTAAAAGTATGTTATTATTTTCCGTTTGAGTTGAATATACAAGTGAAATTTAAACAACTTCTCAATAATGTACTTTATAATATTTTTCTTACTAAAAAGATTTTGTAGTATTCTAGGAATACCAATGAAAAAAAAAAAGCTTCGATATAGAAATTCATGTTCCCATTACAGGCCTTTCCTATTCTTCTATGATATAAGTACGGCTAAAATTTAACTCCGAATCTACCTCTCTTCATGACATTGGGATAATGAAACACCATTATTGATTGGTATGATTTAAACCTACACCAACAGAACCGTAGTCACCCTAACTACTACAACAGCCAATCAACTATTCAAATATAATTTGTCTACAACAAATATATTTCGCGTACTTAGAGATTCCAACAGTAACATAATTTATCTTTGCAACATCTGACTACGACGGATAGCTACCAGAATACATAACGTTCAAGGGTTATAACTCTGTAGGCTAACGGTCCGGCAGCCCAAACGATACGTTACGCACATTATGGTGGATTTACCCTCACGAGGAGCACTTACATTTGGAAGGGGAAGTCATACATTCCCAGCGAATGTTACATATCGCTTCTTAATATCCTGTTTCAAAAGATTTTTTTCGATTATTTAATTTTAAAATTTTGGTTAATTACTGACAATTAATTGCTTTTAAATGCAATGAATTTGAATAGAAAATGTAGATTAATTTCACCATATTTTTACCTACCAACGAAGTTATACAGGGTGATTGATATATGTGTGCCAGCCGTTTTATTCGAAAACCATAAGAGATATCAAAAAAAGTTAAAAGGTAAGTGCCTTGGACTTTTTATTAAAAAAATTGTAGTCAAGTCAAAAAAATTATTTTAGCCGCCATTTTTTCAATATGGCCGCCAGATTGGATTTTTCTTATGGAACAACCTGTATTTTATGATGTATTCTGGTAGAAAATGTAATTTTAAGACGATTTTATCCCTGTAATTTTTGTCATAAACCTAACCGTTTCAAAGATAATAATGGTTAAAGTTTTGAAATTTCTGCATGAGAAAGAGTTTCGATAAAGGCCTAAGCAAGCATGCCAGCTGTTTTATTCGAAAACCATTCAAAATTTCACAATTTAAACCATTATTATCTTTGAAATGGTTAGGTTTATGAAAAAAATCACATGAATAAAATCGTCTAAAATTACATTTTCTATCAGAATACATCATAAAATACAAGGTGTTCCATAAGAAAAATCAAAGTTGGCAGCCATATTGGAAAAATGGCGGCTAAAGTAATTTTTTTGACTTGACTACATTTTTTTAAATAAAAAATCCAAGGCACTTACCATTTAACTTTTTTTTATATCTGTTATAGTTTTCGAATAAAACTGCTGGCACACTTATATCAATCACCCTGTATATGGAAAACAATCCGATTTGTTGGGAATTTTGCCTCGGTTTAAATTGATCACTTATGATTATCACAACAAAAGTTTCAATCTCTTGAATTCCATAAAGTCATACATGATACAGCTACTAACAATTAATTGCTAAAAACTAAAAAAAATACATGAAACGATTTCCTTACGAAAGTTGACATAGTAAATTGATTTCCTTTTTTTTCAAAATAAAAATTATTTTTTACGTTTGAACTAAAATTAAACTATAATTTTGACCAAATCTGATCCAACTCCTAGTTCAATGAGTTGTAAGAGCCAATCGTAAGGTAAAATTAACAAATGCTTGTTGGCAAGCCTGTTTACCCTAATAGTTTACTTATTAGCTTATTTTACTTTAAAATACAAAATTGAATATTTGTGAGCGCAGGAATTGTTATGCAAGAATTATTTTGTTTTTAGCTGTAACTATCCCCCACTTTACATGTAATATTACATTTATATTTACTAAAGAAATTGATTCTTTTCTTGAAAATCAAATTTTTAATTTTGATTATCATATGCTCGATTATTGTAATACAGATCATTCGAATAAATAAAAGATAAATTATGCCTTTTTAAATTCAGGCTTGCTACATTTTTTAGGAATATCCTTAATTATTATTTTTACCAAATGTTCGATCCAGTTTCTCAAAACAGTTAAATTAAAAATATCTGATAAAATCACGCTCATTGAATTAACAATTTCACTTGGTGATTAAATATTTGAATAACATCACTAGTAGTCTAAATAGTTATAAAGAAATGCCAACATTAATGTTATCTCTTAACATAGAGATAACTGAATGTTTGTACCAGTAACATTTGTAGCATTTTATCAGATATGTGAGCAGTCTCGGCTTTACAGGGTGTCAAGGAATGTCTTGGCTCGCTTGGCTCATGTTAATCGCTTTCTCAGTCGGTGTGATGGGAGTGAACTTTTATTTTGCTCTAATGTGTGAGTAGCATTTATTCAAATAATATAACTAAAAATATTAGATATTTAGTGACATAATTAAATGCATTGAATATTTTTCGTATTTTTTATGTTATAAATTTGTTTGATTTAAAATGGGTTAAAATACAAAATACCCCCGCCACAGCAAACCTGCCGACTAAGCGAATTTCCATTTGTCTGAATTGTTTTTCAGTTAAATATATTTTAATAACATTAGGTTTAACGAGTACCTAGGTTTGCTGCTACAATGAAACTAATAAAGTGTGTTTTTTTAGTAAAATATTGATAGCTTAGTACAAAATAAATAAATTTGCCACGTTTGATCAAAATATATCCATAAACAAGCAAAGTACAACATTTGACAATATTCTCCATAAGAATAACATGGGAATTTTAAATTTACAATTTTTTTAATTTTCTCCGTTACTAATAACCGAACAAAACTACTGTAATATACTAAATTATTTGTTTTTTTAAGCTCTTTAAAAAGGTCTAAAGAGAAATTGGGAAATTTTGTGTTTTGAGGGTCAAAAATGAGAAAAACCAATTTTTACCACATAAAACCCCCCGTAAAGCCCCGTTCCCATGGTCCGATAATGCTGGTTCGCGAACTCATTCACGTTTATCCCGCTTTACACCTTTAAACCAAATTTCATCAAAATCGGACCAAAATTACCCAAGTTATCGCGTTCACGGACGTATATATATATATATATATATATAAATCTATATATATAGGGATATATACATATATAAAAATTTGAACGAATGGTGTTTTTGGCCTCTGGGGACATCAAAATGAAAAAGTAAATCGGTCCCGGGTCTAGGTCTTACCGTGCCATCTACGGTAATAGCTACTTCCCTATAGGGAAATTCTTTAACAAAGAAAATATTTTGAGATTTAATGGAAAATGGATGAAATGTTTTATTTACATGGCTGGAAAAACCGAGAGAATTATTTAGTGTGAGTGATTAACTAATATAAAAGTACTTATTTTTATTATTGCTAACCATTAATAATTACAGTACAGTTCATCTATAGTATGAAAATCGGTCGTATATTATGGTATATGGTATGAATATTGGGGAGGACGCATTTTGATACTGTACTTTCATATGAATAATTATGATTACTTTTTTGCTTGGTAATCGTTCGATATAGCCAGTTTTGACATGAACACGAAATCCTAAATTTTAGTAACTAAATGTCTTACACTAATTAATTTTGAAAAAAGTAAACAGCTGAACTGATTCATGGGATGAATTTTTACAAGTACGTTCACCTTTATGTGTATTGTTTTGTTTTGTTTTTGAGAATAACATTTGAAGCTCCTCTAACCGTTTTCATGTCAAGTAGCTTGAGTTACAACTTTCAAGTTAGGCATTGCAGTTTACTTTAAAGAAAATTAAATAACGCTTGCTATTCACAAGCTTATGTTACCTTAAAGAATATTTAAGATTGATAATTTATTCATAGTTTTGATGTTAGCTTGAAAATAGTTTATATGATATTCTTTTGGAAATATTTTATAGCATAGAATATTAATGACTTCCATCTGTTTCAGCGATATTAAGGGAACTCTACCAATCGGAGAAAGGTGTGAAATAGTGAAGTCGATTCGTTAATTTGATTTATTTTGTAAAAATATTTTATCATTGTACATTTTATTTAAGTAATTCTATTATTTCTCAAACACACCATTTGTTGTGTGTGGAAATGAAAAATTATGCTGTATCTCTTTAAATATACGTTTATTTTAATCTTTACTGCACCACTGATTTTAAATACCTCAATACTAAAATACCGTGTACAGCGTCTGAGTGGATATAGTGCTTGCCAACTAGTAAAAGGAAGCCAATACAATCCAGAATATTCAATGGATTGTTGTGTTTCAAAATAAGGCTTAGCTTTATCACCCTGGCCATAACAAAAAAGAAAAAAAATCAGGTAGTCTCATAGTTATTATATTATTATTATATAAAGTAATTATATTACTTCATTTATCAGAGCATTTACTAGACATGCAGGAAAATAAATACACCCACCATCTCAATAATAAAGGTCATAATAAACATGGATGTAGTAGAACGTTTTAAAATTCATTATGACGTTGGTTCTGAAATGTTAATATTGTTTTGATTTTTCTACTATTATTGTTTAACACTAGGCAACGTGTCTGGAGGTGGATCAGCTCCTCCCGATTTCAAGTAAAATTATCATTCTAATTACATTATTGTTATCTATAGTCAAAAAATAATAGTACACAAACTAAAAACTAAAAGAAATATAGTGACACCTTTCAATCAGTGTCAATTAAATACATAAAAGTGTAAATAATTAACATTATTAAACATCAATTAAAGTTTACAGGTTATAAACTATTTGTATTTCTCTTTAAGAGGGAGGGAACTGTTTCAAAAGTATTAAGAAGCAAAATACAAACCCACTCTGAAAGATTGGTAAGTAAATACCCACATTTGTTTTGTAAGGTCGAATGACATTGTATCCATTATATATTCCACTCTTAAACATTATCTCTCAGGCGTTTAAGTGTAACGAGGAAGGCGAGAAGCAATTTTCCGTCGTCACACCAACTGACTTTCGTGGTATTAGGTTAACGTTAAGTAGTCTCAGTTTCGAGCTCTCAACTTTTAAAAGTTGACAGGAATACGCCACATTTAATTTTACTACTTATAATTGTTTCAATGATTGTACAAAATAATTCTCGATGTTTATAAAAACAGTTTGTCTTTCGAAATGTAATTATAAATTTAAATTTACCAATATATAACGAATTTAAAATCTACTAGCAAAGTTGTTTTTAAGTTGTTTACTTTTCTACACCAAACCAAAAGATAATGGATATGGTCTAATTAGTTTTATTGAATACTAGCAGAGTACCCGTCCTTCGTACGGGGTTAGAATATAAGTATAAATGCTTATTACAGTTATGGGAGAGGACACGGTTTAAGAAAATTTGGTAGGTTGGAGCTCGTTTGCTGCGCTTACTTGCCTTCAGGTTGAAGTTCGTTCGCTACGCTCACTCACCTTTTTGGTTGCAAATTAGCTGTTTTCATAAATAAAAAAAATAACAATGCTGCACCTTGTTGGTAATCCTATTAACTTTTTAATGCTATTGAACATCACATAATAAAATTGTTTAGTTGAACCAGCTGTTAAGATTCTTTAATTCCATTTAAATATTAGTACTCATCAGGTTAACATGGGTAACTACAGAGCCACAGGGGCAGAGCCCGTGAGGATTTTGAGATAAGAATATGCCTAAATGTTCATCAGGAATGTAAGCTATCACCATGCCAAATTGCAGCCCAATCCGTCCAGTAGTTTATGCATGATTGAGCAACACACATACACACGAACTCACAAACTTTCAGATTTATAATATTAGTAAGATATAATAATATTTAATATAAGATGTACGATGTAAGATTTTAACTATGTTGCCGACTTAGGATTTCATACTTATGTTAACTGAAAAAAATAAGAATATCTACGAATAAGAAAAGTTTAATTCATTACCGTTTTAAATTATCTCAATACTATTTAAGTGGTAAACGTATTGTAATAGTCGATAAAGTTTACTAAACAAGACAGTTATTAAGTCGTGAAAATTATACAAGTCTAAGTCCTACAGACTTTGCATTATGCAAAGCATTGGAATGCCTGGATTATTTAAAATGTTGAATATAATTCAAACGTCATGGATGATTAGATCAAATTGGATGATTTTTTATTCATTTTAGAAATGTAACTCTAAACCCTACATAGCTACAGTGTAACCTAAATTGAACTTGCAGCCTAAGTTCTTTACGTTAAAAACGTTTAGACTTCAATTATCATGTTATATAGACACTTTATGATGTTCCACAGGAAGATATAGTATTATAATAATGATAACACTAGTTCGGTTTTAAACTTAATAATCAGACCTTTCAGATGGTAACTTTAAAATCAATCGTGTCGTAAGATATGTTTTGGTATATGTTTATACTTTGTAGATTCAATATTCCACAAGTGATTTTTTAAAGGGTGGGACTGGTGTAAAGTTGTGTATTTAAGTTGACCACATTGGCTAGCTTTGTAGTTATGGCAGCGTTGGTATACAATACTATATATGTTTCTCTGTATTGAATAATTCAAAAACCACAACATATATATATATTGTATATTGTTTTCATATTCAGTTATATTAGAGGGATGGTTCGTATGTTTTCAGAATTATTTGGGATATATAAAAGTAAATACACACAGTATGAAATAGGTTACTGACTTTTAAATGAGAAACGAGGGAAACCCGGAAATAATCTATGGATTGAATCCGATAACAAACCCGGATATCCGCCAGAGGTGGTCTTTGGTTTGATTGTAGAGGCCTGTGTCAATTAAACTTAGGTCCGTTAGCTCAGAGAATTTGATTGGTATTAACTAAAGATAATTGCTACGGGAAACCATATCCGTACGTTTTTCTCTGTTAAAACGGGAAATAATGGCGAAAGACAACAATACCCAAGAAAAAAAACAAGTGGAATTAAGATTTCTAATGGAATATTTTAAAGTATTTAAAAAGAGTTTTAGTTTATATAAGTAGTGTGCTGCTAAAATATGCAGTAGTACATGCAATTTTGAAAGCTAAATTAGAAAATACTGGTAGCATTAGACCGTTATCTCCATAAATCAGGTTATTTTATGGAACTTTTAATCAAATCAACATTTTTGTTAGTGTGATGCAGGAATATTAATTATACCTGAACCATTTTCTATAATTTATTATTTATGGAGATAACGGTATATTGCTACAATTACTTTCTAATTAATTTAGCTTTATTCAAAATTACTTGTACTGCTAAAATATGCAGCTTAGTAACTCATATCTCTATAGTACTCTACAGCAGATTATCCATACTAATGGAAAATTGATTAGGTAAAATTAATATTCCTGTATAACACTAACAAATTTGTATTTGATTAAAAGCTCCATAAAATAACCTAATCTGTTTGTTGAAGTCCATTAGTATAGTTTAATTGGTTACATGCTACGGTGGTGTTTTAAAATATAACTATATTAAACTATGAGCAAACCATAGTAAGTCACCATCCATACGACTTTCATATTACGTATCAACCAAATTAAACGTTTAACATCCAAATAAAGGTAATCTGAAAATATTAATGACCAGTAAATCATTTAGCTAACACTTAAAGTTTTATTTGTATAAATAAAATAGCTATTGGTAATTTAACAGCCGCATGAACTATAAATGCTAATATAATATCATGGCAATTAATTTTTACTTTCTCCCCCTATACCATAGTATATGGAGAAAGTATTGTTTTCGTCAAAATTTTCGAGTTTGAGTTTTGAGTGGATATATTCGTTTTGGGTCCCCCTGGACCCAAAAAAGTGGTTTTCGAAGTGATGTCTGTGTGTGTGTGTGTGTGTGTGTGTGTGTGTGTGTGTGTGTGTCTGTGTGTCTGGATGTGTACAGAGCTAGGGACTACACCTGTGGTCCGATTTCAATGAAATTTGGTATGTAGGTTCTAATCCATGGTATCTCCAGGCGTTTTTTTCATTTTTTTTAAATTTTTATTTTTAATGGGGATTTTCCCATAAAAACCCATAAAAAACTGGAAAAATCGGATTTTCTCAAAAATGGCCCGAACGATTTTGATAAAAATGTAGTATGTTATAGTCCTTTATATTTTAAACAAAATGATACAAATCCCATTTCTTTAAAAATTACGGTTCAAAAGTTATGGTAAATTATGTTATTTTCCCATAAAACCCCTATAAAATAACAAAAAAATAGGATTTTAGACAAAAATCAGGTTTTGATTTAACAGAGTATGTTATGATCCTTACAATTTTGATAGTTTTTGTCATTTTTTAGAAAATTATTTTTTTTATGGGGATTTTCCCATAAAACCCCATAAAAAACTGGAAAAATAGGATTTTCTCAAAAATGGCCCGAACGATTTTGATAAAAATGTAGTATGTTATAGTCCTTTATATTCTAAACAAAATGGTACAAATCCCATTTCTGTAAAAATTACGGTTCAAAAGTTATAGTAAATTATGTTATTTTCCCATAAAAATCCCCATAAAATAACGAAAAATCGGATTTTCCCAAAATTGGCTAGAACGATTTTGATACAAATTTAGTATGTTATAGTCCTTTAAATTCTGAAGAAAATTGAACAAATCCGATTTCCGTATATTTACTCTTACCGCTTACTCATGAGAAAGGTTGTTGACAATCTTATGGGAGAAAGTATGTGTCAGAATGCTGATACCGTTTATTATGCTTGTAATCTGAAATCAGCGGCAGCACATTTAAACAAAGTTAGACTAAGACTGTTTCGTCGAAGATTCCCCAGAGTTTCTTAAGGTGGTGTATCAAAGGTTTTATAGCAAATCAATTTGTACTAAGTATCCACATTGTTAATAGAATTAAAAACTATCTCTATTATGAAAGTGCATGTAATGTATGTGGCGTGATTATACTGTATATTCTCGATTGAGTCAGTGAAAACAATTAATTAAAATTTTTATTGATGTTACTCAATGCTTTAATGAAATCAAGCTACATTAAGTTAACATTAATTTTCATACTGTAGTGCTTTTGAGTGGGCTGAATAAGCATCTTAAATGTAATAATAATTATAACAAAAAAATGTTAAATATTGTTAATTAGTACATTATGTTT